CGCATTTTATATATCTCAATCAGATCCACCCTCATTCTTTTGAACCCCAACAAGTACAAGCTGAAGCTATTCAACTGCTCCTCGTCTGACAACTCTTTCATTCCTGGAATCAATTTGATGAACCTCCTCCGAACTGTTTCTAGTGCCACCACATAAGGAGACCAAAACTGGACACAATACTCCAGGTGTGGTCTCACCAATGGTTTATATAATTGTGACAACACTTCTTTACTTTTATAATCCAGTCCTTTTGCAAAGAAATGACAGCATTCAATTTCCCTTTCTTATTATATGCTATACCTGCATACCCACTTTCTGCGATTCAAGCACAAAGATGCCCAGATCCCATTGCACTGACGCACTTTGTATCTGCTTCCCACTTAAATAATAATTTGCCCTTTTATTTTTCTGGCTGAAATTCATAATCTCGCACTTATCCACTTGAAACTCCATCTGCCAGATTCTGGCCCATTCTCCTATATCTATATCTATATCTATATCAATATCCAACTGTAAATTCTTTATTTCCTCAGCATAGCCTGTTTTCACGCCTATTTTAGTATCATCTGTGAATTTTATCTTACACTCTTTCCCTGCTTGCAGATCATTTATATAGATTGGAAATAGTTGAGGTGAGTTGTACTGCACTGATGATTTTGGGATCTTGACATGTAGAAGGGGAGGCGATGGCCTGATGGTAATATCACTGGACTGTTAATCCAGAGACCCAGATAATGTTCTGGGAATCCAGGTTTGAATCTCACCACGGCAGATGGTGGAATTTGAATTCAATAAATATCTGGAATTAGTCATCTAATGATGACTGTGAATCCACTGTCAATTGTTGGAAAAATCCATCTGGTTCACCAATGTCCTTTAGGGAAGGAAACTGCCATCCTTACCTGGTCTGGCCTACATGTGACTCCAGACCCACAGCAATGCTGGCCTAGACAGTGATGCCCTCATCCTGTGAATGAATAAAGGAAAAAAAACTGCACTGTAATTATAAAATAAAGCAATTCATTAGTTCAGACTCACTTTGAAATGTTTCTGTGAGTTACAGCTAATATTTCTGTCAAGATGGCATTACAGAGCATAAAAGTATTCCATCCATTGTGTCTGTGTCCTGTCCTTGAAAGACCTATCAAATTCATCCTATAGCCTTGTTTGTTAGCAATAGCCCTGCAAACCCCTTTTGAAGTGCATACACAATTCGTTTTTAAAATTATTATTCCAATGTGCACTCACCACCTTTTCAGAGTGTGCATTTCAGACCATGACAATTCACTGCATGAACCAATGTTCTGACTCCCTCTCCTTAAAATATTGCCGATCAGCAGATAGACAAACCTAGTAAGGTCAAGTATCTATGCAATTTACATTGTTTTCTCATTTGATAGCAGGTTTGTGGATCCAAAGTTTTACACGTCCTGCAGGAATCTAAAGCCACTTACAAGAACACTGGCCAATCTGCTCGCTTTGCTTTATGTCTCCATTCTTGTTTGCTGTCACTACTGTATCCTGGCAATAGTGAAACCAATAACCTTCCATTGTATTTCTTTGTATAGTCCAGTTTCATCCACAATGCATCCTTGTTTGTGAATGCTTGCCCTCCCGTGATGACTATATAGGAGGTATAAATTAAATATTTTTCCTAATTATCCTGTTCAGAGATATTATTACACACCTCAGGAGCAAGTGGGACGTGAACATTGACTTCTAGCTTAGGAGCTAAGGACATTACCACTGCGCCACAGAAACCTCTAGAAAGTTTAAAATACATAGTGCCAATCAAGAGCCAACACCTGAAATAGTCACTCGAAGCTCACCCAGATCATGACCAAGCTACTAAGTGTGCGTGCGGTATTTTCCATTAGCGTTTCAAATTTCGAGCATTGAGCAACATGATTTTTGTTTGCGAGAATAATATTGCCCGGGCTGGAGGAGGGCAGTGCAGTTGTGAGGTCGGTTTCCCTGCCAACGTCGTCTTTTGCTTGTGAGCGAACGGCGGCCACTCGACTCCAAACAGAGTGGGAGGTTCATTTTATCACGAGTGAAGGTTTGTCTGCAATTGCCAGGCGCCAAAATCTGTGAGAACTGTATTGGTCGCACATGCTCGATTCTTAGGCACGTTGGGCAATAAACAACATGTTTGCACTCAAAAATATACACACACCCATAAAGCACGGCCAAGGGATGAAAGGTAAACTTGACGTAAACAATGTATTAGCTCCTGACTGATGATGCTTTCCCGATGACGATCTTCAACAACCTGAACAAACATGGCGGCTGACGTCCCGGGCAACCGTTACCACGGCAACTGTAAACAGATCGCTTCGGCGTCTGCGCAGTAGGCTGTAGGCTGCGGGATGGTCAGAGGAGCCCAGGTACAGCTGCAAGGATCAAAGCTGAGAGACAAGAGCTGACAGTGAACCTGCATCAGGAAGAGTGAGTGAGTAGCAGAGGGGAGGGAGGCACACACACAGCGAGGGGCAATAACAGAAGCAACGGTTGCTACGTTGGGTGAGCGTGCAACTGTAAAAGAAAGAACATCTGAATAGCACCCACAGTGTATGTGTTCGTTGCAGTCAATCAGTGCCTCTCAAAAATGGCTCAGTGACAATGGGAGGGGCTGTTAATCAAGTTCCACCTTCGGTATTTAGGCATTTTAGAGGCTGGGGGGACTCGACAGCTCAATAGTCAGTGTGTGTTCTCTCTGAAGTGTAGCCAGTCTGTTTGCAACTCCAAAATGAGCTTTCAACCTGACAGCATCATGTAATTCACCCTTCTCATTGAAATAACTGCACAGAGTCACCACGTCACCCTCTATGGTACTTGACAGTGGTCCAACTTCCTCAGATCCAGCTCTCAGAGTGAACAGAACCACTGACACTTCTGTTTACATCTGTCAGCCAGGGCTCCCAGGTTAACACACCCAATCAGGGTACTCATATTCTATGAGATCCACCTGGCTGACCTTATTACAATCATGACATCCCTCCCCCTCTAAATCTGGGAATGTAGGTCGATTCTTTTTCTTGTAGCCTTTCTGGTTCCTCCAACTCAGCCTCGGATATGTGTGGTGTGTACCAGACTGTAGCCTGCCTCTTGCACCTACAGCGTATCGGAAGAAATTCATCCTCTTCTTCAGGCGGTAAAGGTGTTGAGGCTGCAACATCCTCTGTGTCCATCTCAGAATTTGAGGTTTCTTCGAAATTAAACAGAGCAGAAGAACCCACAGGTTCCGTCAGCCTTTCTGGGTGTTCTGAGGGGCCGGGTATGTTTTGCTCATGCCCCATTTGTGAGTTTTCGCTTTCATTTGGTCCACATGCTTGTTCAGGACTGCGTCACCTACCCAAACTTTGTATGTCATGGGATCTGACCTCACATTGACCATGCCTCTTATCCATGCAGGGCCATTTCCGTGGTTTTAGCACCCAACTTTGTCCCCTGAAGTAAATTGTTTCTCTTGTTTAGAGGAATCTTGTATCCAACATTGGCATTCCTGATGCCATTTCACCCTCCTCCCCAGGTCCAGGAAGATCAAATTTAATCTGGTGCGGAGTCTTCACCACATTAGCAAGTCTGCTGGAGCTATCCCTGTAATTGCACAAGGGGTGGTCTGATAATCAAATAGGAACTGGGACAGTTTGGTATCAAGTGAAGTTGTAGGCTGTTTCTTTAAGCCTGCCTTCAAAGTTTGGACTCTCTTTCCATCAGACCATCGGATGATGGATGGTATGCAGCTGTCCTTATATACCAAATTCCATTCGACTTTAGGAAATACTCGAATAGCTTGCTGGGAAATGTTGGCCCATTGTTTGTGACCAACTCTTCTGGGAGACCATGTATTGCAAAAGATGCTCGCAGCTTTTAGATCATCGTCCCCATGTTAGATGAATAAACTCTATGCACATCCAACCACTTTGAGTGGGAGTCTACAATGACTAAGAACATTCAGACCCTGAAAGGACCGGCATAGTTGACATGTTACTGACTCCAGGGTTTACCTGGCCGTTCCCATAAATGTGGGGGAGCTGCTGGCAATAATTGTTGTCCTTGTTGGCATTCCGGGCACTGCCTCACTAACATGGCTATGGCTACATCCAATCCTGCTTATCAGACAACAAAAGTTTCTCCCGTCACCACCAGCTTTTTTAGTTTTGCCAGGACCGGATCTTTTTGTGTCCACACTCTGATATTGTCAGTGGTGGCCAAAAAGGTGTCCAGAAAGTTTAAAACCAGAACGGACTCTTCCAATGGTGGCACCACCGGTGGTGTATCTGCCAGCGGGAGGCAGCTCAAGGCATCCACATTTGCCACTTGGTGTCCCGGACAGTGTTCCAATTTGTAATTGTACGCACTTAGAATGACAGCTCACCACTGAATTCGATGTGAAGATATGGGCGGCATGGCCTTATCCTGTTGGAGTCGCCCTAGCAGGGGTTTGTGGTCTGTTAATATTACAAGTTTACGTCTGAAAAGGTTTTGGTGGAACTTTCTCACTCCAGAGATGACCGCCAAACCTTCCTTCTCTATCTGGGTGTATTTGTGTTCTGCATCAACCAAAGTCAGGGAAGCATATGCTATTGGGCATTTCTCTCCAATGGGCCATTTATGACCCAAAACTACCCGGATACTGTAAGGGGAGGCATCGCATATCAGCACCACATTTCACTTGGGTTCATAGACCTTAGACGATGATAGCTGCTTCTTCAATTCCGTAAAGGCTACATCTTGGCTACGAGACCATTCCCAAGGATGACCTTTTTCAACAGCAAATATAAGGGTGCCAGGATGGAGGCCAGGTTACATATGAATTTTCCCATAATTCACCAATCCAAGGAAAGACCTAAGCTCCAGTACAGAAGTGGGAACGGGAGTACATTTGATTAGCATCATGTTATTTTCCAAAGGGTATACTGGGTCTTGTTGTCTCTGTAGCCCAAGGTCACTTGGGATGCCTGGAACACACATTTTTCCCCTCTAAGGTGGCCTACGGCTGCCTTGGAGAAAAGTCTAAGGACTATGTCCAAGTTCTCTAAGTGCTCTTTATTGGACTTTCCTATTATTAGCACATCATCTAGATAAATGGTAACCCGGGGTAGACCTTGTAAAGGTTTCTCCATGGTCTGCTGAAAAATGGAACAGGCTGATGACACCCCAAATGGCAGTCTCATATATTGATACAAACCCCAAAGGGGATTAATTATAGCGTACTTCGGGGAATCGTCATCTAACTGCATTTGCAAGTAAGTGTGGCTCATGTCCAGCCTTGTGAAGGACAACCACCCTGCCTGCTGTGCGTAAAAGTCCTCTATGCGAGGGATTGGGTATTTATCCAGCTGTGAGAAGCAGTTTGCTGTTTGTTTAAAATCCCCACAAAGGCGAACCGACCTTTTGGGCTTCACCATCAGTACAACCGGTGCGGCCCATTCTGCAAAATGGCTCATTTGATGATTCCTTCACTTCCAGCCTTCTTATTTCTTCCTCTCCTTTTTCTTGTGGAGCAACTGGCACTGGTCAGGCCTTGCAGAATCATGGAATTGCTTTCTGGTCAACAAGCAATCCTTTGATAGTCCCTTGACCTTCCTGAAAACCCTCCAGTTATTAACCAGGACTTTACTCAGGCAGCCATTTTCTAATTGAAAAATGTGGAGCCAATCAAGTTGAATCTTTCTCAATCAATTTCGCCCTACCAGGCTTGGGCTCGAACCTTTTACTATAATCAGTGGTAACTGAACCAGCTGCTTTCATACGAGACTGGAACCAAGTTCTACCCTTAATCTGTAAAAGTTCCCTTGTATAGGTTCTCAGTCTAGCTGACTTACTTGCACAAACTTAAGGATTCGAGTCCAGAGTGAATTTTGTTAAAGACTGGTTCTACAATCACTGAAACGGCCATGCTGGTATTGACCTCCATTAGAACCAGGCGAATATTTAACCAGATGTTTATTTTGATCGTTTCTGATTTGGATGTTGCCATGCAACTTAACTGTTCCAAGCCAGGGTGTGCACTCTCCCGGATACTGGCCTACGAATTCTCTTTCTCAATTCAAAGGGGCTCTTCTGCTGTCTCGAGTCCACATACTGGCAGCAACTACAATGGCTTACTGGCCCAGATGCTAAAGAAAATGTTAATCGTTTGGCTGAGGCTCGGCTTTGTTTTGGGGTTTTGCTGTGGGTTGACCTGGAGTCCCTTTGTTCAGGATATGTCTTGAGTGAAACTGTGCAATTGCCTCCACTCAAGTGGTGTCCCGCAAGCTGGGTTGACCTGGCGAGGGTGTCCACTTCCATTGGCATACCTTGTAAATCATATGTTCCACTTGCTGCATTTTCTAGTGACAAAGCCACCTGTAGTGTTTGTTTGAAGTCCAGTTAGGCTTCAGCTGGTAGGTGCTTTTGCATGGTTACATCATTAATCCCACATACCACATGGTCTCTCAGCATCTCATTAAGGGTTAATCCATACTCACATGCCTCTGCCAGTTGCCTTAACCTTGTCAAAAATCCTGACATGGAGTCCCCTGGTTCTTGAACTGCCAAGTAAAACTGATAGCGGAGATTCTCTTCAGAATTAGAGGAGGCTTGGAGTCATAATTTTCCTTAACTAAATCCACCAACTCTTGAAAGGTTTTAGTATCTGCTACCTCAGGAAATGTTAGGCTCCTAATAACTGAAAAATCTGTTCAATCTGTGGGTCCACAAGCTGTCAGGAGAATTACTTGTCACTTTTCATTTGTCCTAATGCCATTTGCCCAGAAAAGAATAACACCTTCTTTCCACATTCTGGGCCCAGTTTTTGATGGCAGGATTGAACGAGTCAAGCTTCCCAAATAATGACATGATGCTAGAAATGCTTACCCCAACTCAAAGACATCTGTTGCGAGTGAATTTCTTGAGGAGTGTATTTTTTTCTCTCGTCGCCACTGAAATATCTCCACAGAGGCTGGTATCCTGTCACCACATCACCCTTTATTTACACATGCATAGTACTTGACATTGGTCCGGCTTCCTCAGAGCCAACTCTCAGGGTGAACAGAACCTCTGACATTCCTGTTCATTATCTGTCAGCTAGGACTCCTTGATTGGACCAGGTTAACAGGCCCAACCACAGAAATCATATTCTATGAGGTCCACCTGGCTGACTTCGTCACAACCACTAGAGTCAAATCCAACAAAACCTGAGACAATATAAGCATAAAAGCTGAAGGTTTTAATTTTACTCTGTTGTGAATGTAGAGGTAGAAAGGTTGACTTGGTTCAGCTGTCAGTCTCTGTGTTGTAACAATATCATAGTTTTCCTTTTAACAGGAAAGCTTTTAGTCCACTAAGCAGGTTCTTCAGCTGTTCAACCATTTCTTATTCTTGCTGGCCTATGTTATTAGCTCCCAGTCAAGTAACATCTTGACTTTAATTTTTTTCATCCTTGGTTCACAAATCCTCCACACTTGCCTTCCTTATTTGCCATCCCCACAACAGTCTGAGGTATCTACACTCTCTAATTCTGGCCTCTTGTGCATTCCTTATATTTTCATCACCATTGGTGCAAGGGTCAGAGCTCTGGAATTCCCTTTCACTATCTCTCCCTTTCTGTACTTCCATGAAGATACTTATAGTCATTTGGAGAAGAGTTTTAGAATTTTGTTACAGCAATGAAGGAACGGCAATATAGTTCCAAGTCAGGATATTGTGCTACTTGAAGGGGAATTTGCAGGTGGTGGTATTGCTCCAAGCAAATTTGAAAACATTTGTGTTCACATCCTTGAGTAAGTGTTTTGGAATTTCTGCGATGTTCAATGCAATGTGAAACCCTGTTATCCTGAAGGCATGTTTAAAATCTTGACAGTGAAGTTACTTGGTTTGTACCAGTCACAACAGGAAAATAAGTCCTCCACATAATTTATACATGCAACCATTTGTGGCATGTGTATTCACAGTAAGTCCCTAATGTTGTTGCCCATATTGTAAAATAATGCAGTAAAGAAAAATGCATGATGGTATGTATGCTAATTTTGTAATTGAGTCACAGTTTGAAACAAATACTGTAGCTGTTTTAAGAATAATCTCTTGTCATTGTTAGGGTTTGATCCAAACATGAATTTAGTACTTGTGGAATGTGCAATGTAATTAATTGGAACACAGTCAACTGATGATAATTTAATGTTTTTGCACAATAACTAAAATTATCCACTAATCTGAATTAAGAAGCATGAAGAACACTTCAACTGTTCATTTGGTTGTAAGTGTTTCAATTGTCAGATAATTTGAAAGAAGCAACTTAAAATTAGAAGTTAGTTCTATGGAGTAATGTTTGCTTTCATTGAATTTTCTCCATAACAATGAGCTCAATCAATGCTCTTAGTATACTGGTGGAGCATACAGGTTTGCAAATTGTAACATATTAATGTTGTTAAAAAGTAAACCTAACATCAAGACAGCTATTTTCCACGTGTAGTGTAGAGACCCCAAAGTATGAAGTGGAAATAGGATAATAAAAGACTGAACTTGCAAGTCATGGAAACAGAATGTTAAACACAAATGAAAAACAAGGCAACAATAAGCAATAACAATTGTATAAAAATAGGATATGAAGCAGAGGAACTAAGTACAGAGAGATAATAGAAAGAGATTAGTCTCAGCAATTCCAGGTCAACACTCATGTAACATTGTGATAATGGTATAGGATATATTGTAACAAGATAGCTAGATTATCAGAGACAGCAAAATTAACACGTTCAATTTTTGTTGAATAAACAGCAATTGCAGCCAAACCTCCTGGATTCAACACACAAGATGAAACTGACTGAGAACCTGTTGGGCTCAGCGAGTGCAGCACATACCTTTTAGTCGACATTTGTACTGGTTACCTTCTCAATAAACATTTATGAACAGGTAAACTTTATTCTTTCTTTTCACTGTGTTAACAATAGTGTTTCCTTATTTTGTTTCTTCTGGTAAGGGAAAGCATGGTTCAGCTACAGAGCAAATTACCAGGACTGTCATGCAATAGGTAGCAGGACACTCACTGACAGGTCAGTGGGTGAGTCAGATTAGTGGTTCCCGTCTTTACATAAGATACTCCACCAACGTGAAATGCTCTTTCCACAAAAGAACTAATGACACTGGCAGACAAAAAGGAATGGAATGCTCTTTCCACAAAAGAACTAATGACAATAGCAGACAAAAAGGAATGGAATGAAAGACATCAGTGTCAAATAGGATATAACAAGGTGTAGAGCTGGATGAACACAGCAGGCCAAGCAGCATCAGAGGAGCAGGAAAGCTGACGTTTTGGGTCTAGACCCTTCTTCAGAAGTGGGGGAGGGGAAGGGGGTTCTGAAATAAATAGGGAGAGAGGTGGAGGCGGTTAGAAGATGGATAGAGGAGAAGATAGGTGAAGAGGAGACAGACAGGTCAAAGAGGCGGGGTTAGAGCCAGTAAAGGTGAGTTTAGGTGGGGAGTTAGGGAGGGGATAGGTCAGTCCAGGGAGGATGGATAGGTTAATGAGGCGGGATGAGGTTGGTAGGTGGGAGATGGGGGTGGGGCTTGAGGTGGGAGGAGTGGAGAGGTGGGAGGAAGGACAGGTTAGGGAGGCGGGCACGAGCTGGGCTGGTTTTGGGATGCGGTCGGGGGAGGGGAGTGTCAAATAGGCTTCAGTGTGACTGAGAAAACTCATCCTGGCTACATAAGTCGTTTGCTTCATTTAAATTTGCCAGTAATATTTCATTTTTTTAAAAAATTACATCCTAATGAAATTAAATGCAATATTACTAAACATCTTCTCGTATTTTAGTTATATTGGCATTTTTGAACTTGAGATTCATTGTCTTTGTACTTACTTTTTTCTGGACTCTTCTTAAATAATGTAAATACTTTTATATTTGTAGGTAGTATACTTGAGAGATGAACAAAAATGTTGCATCCATATTGGATACCATCGCCATGTTCAGCTGAAAAAGGCAGATACAACCAAATGTTGTGAGAATCAAGAAAGGTGATTTGTTTTAAATATGCATGTTGTCAAATTTGGTAGTTCTCAGGACCAAATTACTAAAATCTGATTGTAGATATTGTAAATATTTTTGTATTATCTGTAGAAAGAAATTCACTTTTAAACATGATGAATAAAAGCAAAATAATGCAGATGCTGGAAATCCAAAAGGAACACAGAGAATGCTGGAGAGACTCAGCAGGTCTAGCAGCATCTGAGCAGAGAGAAACAGAATTAATGTTTTAAGATATAACAAGGTGTAGAGCTGGATGAACACAGCAGGTCAAGTAGCATCAGAGGAGCAGGAAAGCTGACGTTTTGGGTCTGCACCCTTCTTCAGAAAATGTGTTTTAACTCTTCTTCAGAACTCAAAACTAATACAGTATCACATTAGGGCAACAAGGTTCCACCTGCTGTAAAGATGTCTTTTTTCTTCGAACTCAAAACACTTACTGTACTCAAGATAGTAGGAACTGCAGATGCTGGAGAATCTGAGATAACAAGGTGTAGAGCTGGATGAACACAGCAGGCCAAGCAGCATCAGAGGAGCAGGAAGGCTGATGTTTCGGGCCTAGACCCTTCTGAAGACCCTTACTGTACCCTATTTGTGTTTCGAGTCCGATATGGCTTGTCTTCAGAATGTAGTTAAAATGTTAACTCTCTTAGACAGATGCTGTCAGATGTACAGAGTTTCTCCAGCATTTTGTTATCCTTTCAGATTTCTGGCATCCACAGTATTTGCTTTTATTACTGTACCATGTTGACTCAGATTATTATGTATTTCTAAGGATATTCTGAGATTGACAGTGATTTCACCGACATTCACCCCTGAATTCCGGTCTCTTGCACGTCTCTGATTTTTATTATTCCACCATTGACAGCTACGTTGTTGGCTCAAAGCTTTTGGAAGTTCCTCCATATCCCTCTCCACTTTGCTCTCCTATTAATCTGTTTATAATCTCCTTGTCTGGCAAAGCTTTCAGTTACCTGTCTGAATATCTCCTTAAATCGCTCACATTTTGTTTGATAATTGTGAGGTGCTTTCAGATATTTTGCTATGTTAAAAGCACTATACAAATGCAAATTTGTTGTTGAAGATTATATCAGATTGCTGCTCTTTGATCAGTTAATGAGTACAATGCTTCGTTAACAATGCAGCCTTAGAGTAAAGGAGGAGAACCATGAAATTGACAGGCATTTCTCCTTCATTTTTGTTCGAGTTGTACTTATTCACAGCAGACACTAAAAGTCCTTGCCAACACTACAGAGCAAAAGTACAGCAGAGAACTGAACGTTCCCAGCTTTTAAAATTGAATGTTTTTACTGTAACAAAGTAAGCCACGTTCAGAAAATGTGCCAAAGCAGAACACAACCACAGAAAAGCAAAAGACTGAAGAACTACACACACAATTGGATGAATGAGTTTGAACCATTAGAGTAAGCATGAAATTTGTAGGAGATAGTCCTGGGACTAGTATGTTTCTAACAATCTCTGTAGTAATATAGGTGCTATTCAGGTAATCTGTAAATATTTGCAGTCATGCAATAAATGTCATATTGACTACTCAACAAGATTCTTCTAATCAGACCAGAAAGGTAGATATCCTAATCACACAAAATTGCTTCAGGGAGAGGAACACATTCACAACAATCTTGTCTTTCAAAAAGAAGGAGGGAGCGTTACAAGTTAGTGTTTTGACATGAGAAGTGGAGATCTATGTGTAATGAGAGATGGGAAGGAAACAAGATGAAATGAGAATGGGAAAATTATCATTCAGAACCAAAGTGAGGAAGAAACAGCAGAAATAATTGGTTGTTATGCAAGTTTCCATCATTTATCAATATTGGTTTTGCGGTCTGTAATGATGTGGAGCAGATTGATTCAATACTGCAGTACCCATGTGGAATATTGACATGAATTCTTTTGCAAAACTTGTAACTGGCAAACCTACTGAGATGAGCTGTAGTTACTTACAATTTTCAGAAATTCTGAAGTTCCAATTTGGTAACTCTGTCCATTTCCTTCTTTGCAATTTTTTTCTGTTGCATTGTCCTCTGTATTTTTGTTTGTTTTCACAGCACTTTCTAATACCTACCTTCCTAATGAGATATTTTAGTATGATTCAATTTATTTACAGGAAACTCTGAAAGATCTCAGCGAATAAATGTAAACTTGGAATCTAATACCCTACCAAACTTGGATATTACAAGCTATTTAGTTACCTCACCATCTCAGGCACCTGAAAGTGAGCTGGAATTCTTCTATTCTGCTTGATAAATCTTCCTCTCATAGGATTAGTCTTATACAGAATTATAAAAAGAGACATTTTTGCAATGGAATAAGACAAGATATCTAGCAATTAACAAACTGATTATAAAGGGAGAACTGGATTCCAAGTCTTACGATTATTCATTTAGCTAACAACCTTATTATATAAGGAAGATCCATCCAACTTGATCCAGCAACTCAATCTCTGAGTAGGCTATTTAAACCGGTAGAAAATCATAGGCGGCTTAGACCAATTACTAAGTCTCTTGGCTACCAACACTGTCTTGAAGAATGAAGTAGAACCAATAACAATATACTTCTGTTCCTGTCATGGAATCCTTTCAAGTTCTTGACTGATTGGAGTAGAAACTAGATTAACATCTAATCCAAAAAACCTTAGGATAGATTTTTCCCACTAAAGCGGTTAGCTCAAGTCTGGATATTCTTAATTTGGCAAACAAGTCTTGGTTTAAAGGGTCCCATTACATCTAGTCTTGGCTCAAGTATGTTGGGGTGGGATAGGGAGCTTGTTTTAGAAGCTGTCAGGCCTTTTAACCCTCATCTAATGGGTCCAAGTTGTCATTTCAACCATCCACATAATTCAGATAATTTGCTGTATAAACTATCAAGAGACTTCAATTATTCTAGGAACAGAGTCTACAGGAACAGAGCCAAATTAGGAGCTCGAAGTAAATCATTATTTTGTCTGTATGTTCTCAAGGTTGGCAGATGTGGACAATGACAGTTGGGTACTAAATATTGTAAAATTCAAGGCACATTATATACCAATGGTTGTAATATTTGATTTCAGCTTGGAATGGGAGAAGAATCATGTTGGAATGTTTCAGTAGATTACATGATCAGTTCAAAAGTCAGTTAACAGCAGCGGGTGAACAGTTAGTCAGAAGCTGGGGAAGAGAGACCCTGTACCAGTTAAAGTGCTGCTATATTAAATACTGTACTTGTTTTGTGCGGTTAGGTACACATGTTGAGAGCTGGATATGTGACGGCTTTGTGTTTCTGTACAACTGGATCTCTAGAACGCCCTGGAATACTTTCAGCTCAGTAAAGCTGATAGGAAGCTGTCTGCTAGATAACTGGCAGGTGGCACAAAGAGAAAGCCTACATTTGTGAAGCTGGTAGTTGGAGCAAAAGAATGCTGATGAGCAATGGGATTCTGCTCTTAGCAGCTCGATTGCTGAACTTATGAAATGCTTAGATGCTAGGGTGCAACCTTTTGAATCTAGTATGATGCAGTCTTAGTAGAAGAGATTGAGCAATTTGGAGGCCAACATCCATTGAGGCAGTCCAAGTTGAAGGGACATTTAATGGAAATCAGAGGCTGGCTTTTTGAAAGAAAGGGGATAAAATCCCTCATGAGGGAGACAGAATTGTAAAAAATTGTGATTCACTGATGTCTTGATGAGTTGCTGAGAAATTGGTGGAATCTGTCTTGGTTGTGCCCGTCATTTAATATACAGTTTGTGGTGTGATCAACTCCAGTTTGCCTGGTAATTCATGTTTGCCTCATATTAATTCTGAAGGTTACATAGGTATTTTTGATTGTCATTTACTAGACTAATAAATGGAATGACTAGACTAATAACTGGTTCAAAAAGGCAGCTCACCACCATTTCCCAAGGGCAAATAGCGACAGGCAATAAATGCTGGCAAGCCAGCAATGCCCACATCCCACAGATGAATGTTATGAAAAATGAGTGGATTGCCTGATGAAGAAAAGCTAGACAGAATAGGCCTGTATTCTCTGAAGTTTAGAAGAGTCAGAGATGACTTAATTGAACCGTATAAAATCTTGAAGGGACTTGACTGGGTGGATGTCGAAAAGATGTTACCTCTTGTTCATCAATCTGAAACTAGAGGTCATAGTTTAGTAATAACGTTTGCTCATTTAAGGCAGAGATAAGGAAACATTTTTATCTCAGAGAGTTTTGAGTCTTTGGAATTCCCTTCCTCAAAAGACAGTGGGTGCAGAATCTTTAAATATTTTTAAGGCAGAGGTAGATAGATTTTTGATTACTAAGGTGATGAAAGATTATTGGGGATATGCCGCAACGTAGAGTTGAGGTTAAAATCAGATAAGCCACAATCTTATTGACTGGTTGAGCAGGGCCAAGGGACTTACCCTTGTTCCTTGTTTGTATGGTTTTATGTTTTGCTCACTTTTATATAGAAATTTGTTTTGCTTGTTTAATACAAAGGAATTGTGTGACTTTATTCCCTTTGAAGTAACTGGGAATTTCAAATTTTATCCACTTTAAACAAAAGTTACTGGTCCCTAAATGGATCACGACAGATTTGCTGGTCTGGTCTGAGATTGTAACAAAGTTTCAAGCCAAAAAGAAAACAATGTCTTCCATTAGACCTAAGAGAAGAATAAAGTGGCCTCCTTGGACTTTGCCTAAACGAATATCTTCATAGAATGAAATGAGGAATTAGGGGTTCCTGTTGAAGAAAAATGAATACCAGAGGAAGAAGGGTTTATAAGGGCAGTGTGGAACTGGAACTCAGCTCTATTCAATTAATTTTTAGTGGAGATTGGTATATGAATAACTGTTGAACAGACTTTCATTGGTGATCATTCAATTTATTGAATTGTTGTTTGACGAACTACACATGCTTTTAGAGAAGTTGATCAGAAACTTTACAGTACTTTGTCAAATCTGTCAAGAAAATCAATTAAACTCAAAAACCCTTTAGCTTCAAGTTTTGGGCAGAATTATTATTGTGGCGAGAATATCACTTAGCTCTCAATTTCTTATCCTAACTGCTAATTATTGGAACAGTTCATAATTCTAACAATTCTGTTACTTTCAGAACAGAGCAAACAGTCCCAATCAAGATGGCTGGTGGTAGCTGTCCTGAGGAGAATGGTAAGATGGAAAGTGTTGTGGAACTACTGTATGGCTTCCCAAAGCAGGAGGTCAGGGACACCAAGTGGGATTTTGAGCGAAATTTGGGCCTTTTGACTCAGTAATAGCTACTGTGGAGCTCCAACCAAGTTGTAACAGCTGTGCTCCAAATCTAAAAGGCCCTCTCTATTAAGGCCATTCTTATCCCACTCTCACACTCTCACTGAGAGGTCATGACAAAATTTTCAAGCCTCAAAATGGGGTCACAATGAGAAAAAGTTGGGAAAGTATTGAACTACTGCATTACAGGTGTGCCTTCTCTCCAAATGTATTAAACATCACATTTTTCCTTTGAAAAATTGACCCACTTTGTTGCTAGGTCCATCATGAGCCCAACAAATAGCTCAAGGAAGCTTTTACAAAGTAGCAGTGCTAGTCAGATTCAAATTAGCATCATTTTTTTTAAAAATCATAAGCATATTATTGTTTTCTGAAGAAGGGTCCCGACCCGAAATGTCAACTTTCCTGCTCCTCTGATGCTGCCTGGTCTGCTGTGCTCCTCCAGCTCCACATTGTGTTATCTCTTATTATTTTTGTCAAGTAATGTTATTTCAGGTGATGATTTGTTCAACACAAGATTTGTACAGCTATATGAATCAAAGTGGGATTGATTGCTTACTGTTGCAGCTTTTAAATTGGAGCTAATGATTGCTTGCAATGTATTGTATTTAGTGTGATTTCTTCCATTATAATTAAGCCACGCCTGAACAAAGCCTCATTCTGGATCCATTACATACTGCCAATTATTATGAGTAAATTAAGAGACCACCTGGATGTAATCTATTATTTCTTGGATGAATTTACACAATAATAATAAATGAAAAGGCTGCATTTCCATCCTGAGCATTGCACAGCAATTTGATGCATAGTCAAAGCAAAGTCATATAGAACATGCATTTCAGTCCCTTCACTGAACCAGAATATTTGAAAAAAGATAGTTATGGTACTGAAGGACTCATTGTATCTGTATGCACATCATGTCTGATAGGGACATGGTTTTGGATGAGATAAACAGCTACTTTTTATAAAGTGAGCCAGAGTAATATGCAACTGTCAAAATGAATGAGTAAAATCCTGCTAAGCAATTTCAGAGGAAGCACGAGAACGGGACAAATCGAAGAGTTAGAAAGATGGTGTTTTACTTCCCTCTGCCTAATTTAGATTTCACAGAATTGGGAATCCATGTGTATCCATGACTTAAGTAGATTTCTCTTCTCATTGACCCAGTTTCTGAGAAACAGGATGACTCAGTTCACATCATGGATGGAATCAGTTTGAAACAGGATTGCAAATCCCATTATACTGAAGCCAAAGGGACAAACAAGAGTTGTGGTGAGAAAAACATTGTGCTTTAGTATTGCTGTAGCCATATCGTCTGTAACTTAAACTGATTCTCAGTTTGTACATCACACTGATTCACACTGTACCTGAAATTCACAAGGATTTTTGACATTCGTGTTACCTGTCATTCACACTGCACATCTCCTATAGGGATAGGGTGAGCACAATGCTTATAATCCACAGTGAATCTCTGACACTCAAATTGTACTCTTAGATTACTTGCACTTGCATATGTAGCTCCACACAATACACACAACTTTCACACACTTACATTGTTTTCATTATAAATACAACTCTCACTCGGGTTGTGTTGTTTGGACATACTCACACATACACTTGCTTTGTATTCCTGTGATTGAGACTACCTGTAACTCCCATTATGCATATTGCATTGATGTTGCACGGTAGGCCTGTATTCTTCTGCTGTAAGAGCATAAGAACATAAGACATAGGAGCAGGGTTAGACCATTTGGCCCCTGAAGGCTGCCCTGCATTCAACAAGATCATGGCTGAACTACCTCAACTCCTCTTTGTGCAAGCTCAGCATAGCTGTCAACTCTGATGTCTTGAAAATTTATCTACCTCCTCTTTGAATATTTTTAGTAGTCAGTTTAGTAGGGAGGGAGGTAAAAGAGGTGGGGGAATGGCATTGCTAATCAGGGATGGTATCACAGCTGCAGAAAGGGAGGTCGTGGAGGAGGGTTTGTCTACTGAGTCAGTCTGGGTGGAAGTCAAAAACAGGAAAAGAGCAGTCACTTTATTGGGAGTTTTTGATAGACCCCCCCCAGTAGCAACAGAGAAACTGAGGAACAGATTGAGAGACAGATTTTGGAAAGGTGCAGGAGTAATAGGGTTGTTGTCATGGGCGACTTCAACTTCCCTAATATAGACTGGAACCTCTTAAGTGCAAATAGTTTGGATGGATCAGTTTTTGTCAGGTGTGTCCAGGAAGGATTTCTGACTCAATATGTAGATAGGCCGATTGGAGGGGAGGCCATATTGGATTTGGTGCTTGGCAACGAACCAGGTCAGGTGTCAGATCTCTCGATGGGAGAGCATTTCAGTGATAGTGATCACAATTCCCTGACTTTTACTATAGTCATGGAGAGGGATAGAAGCAGACGGTATGGGAAAGTATTCGGCAAGAACTACGGAGCACCAATTGGGATCAGATGTTCTCAGGGAAATGCACGATAGAAATGTGGAGGTTGTTTAGGGAGCAGTTGCTACAGGTACTGAATAGGTTTGTCCCACTGAGGCAAGGAATGGATGGTAAAGTGAAGGAACCTTGGATGACAAGACATGTTGCACACCTAGTCAAGAGGAAGAAGGAAGCTTACTTAAGGTTGAGGAAGCATGGATCGGACAGGGCTCCAGAGGTCTACAAGGTAGCCAGGATGGAACTGAAGAATTGACTTAGGAGAGCTAGAAGAGGGTATGAGAAAACCTTGGTGGGTAGGATCAAGGAAAACCCCAAGGCTTTCTATATTTATGTGAGGAACAAGAGGGTGGCCAGAGTGAGGGTAGGGCCAATCAGGGACAGTGGAGGGAACTTGTGTGCAGAGGTAGGGGAGGTCCTTAATGAATACTTCGCTTCAGTATTCACCAGTGAGAGGGACCTTGACGTTTGTGAGGACAGCATGAAAAGGGCAGATATGCTCAAACAGGTTGTTGTTAGGAAGGAGGATGTGCTAGAAATTTTGTAAAACATGAGGATAGATAAGACCACTGGGCCAGATGGGATATACCCAAACTTACTATGGGAAGCAAGGGAAGAGATTGCTGTCCCTTTGGCAATGATCTTTGCATCCTCATTGTCCACTGGAGTAGTGCCAGAAGATTGGAGGGTGGCAAATGTCATTCCCTTGTTCAAGAAAGGGAATAGGGATAATCCTGAAAATTGCAGACCAGTCAGTCTTACTTCTGTGGTGGGCAAATTATTGGAAAGGATTCTGAGAGATAGTATTTATGATTATTTGGAAAAGCACAGTTTGATTAGAAGTAGTCAGCATGGCTTTGTGAGGGGCAGGTCATGCCTCACAAGCCTTATTGAATTCTTTGAGGATGTGACAAAACACATCGATGAAGGTAGAGCAGTAGGTGCGGTGCATAAGGATTTTAGCAAGGCATTCGATAAGGTTCCACATGGTAGGCTCATTCAGAAATTAAGGAGGCATGGGATTCAGGGAAATTTGGCAGTCTGGATACAAAACTGGCTGTCCAATAGAAGACAGAGAGTGGTAGTAGATGGAAACTATTCAGCCTGGAGCTCAGTGACCAGTGGTGTGCCGCAGGGATATGTTCTGGGACCTCTGCTCTTTGTGATCTTTATAAATGACTTGGATGAGGAAGTGGAAGGGTGGGTTAGTAAGTTTGCCGATGACACGAAGGTTGGTGGAGTTGTAGACAGCATGGAGGGCTGTTGTCGGTTGCAACGGGACATTGACGGGATGCAGAGCTGGGCAAAGAAGTGGCACATGGAATTCAACCCAGAAAAGTGTGAAGTGATTCATTTTGGAAGATCGAATTTGAATGCAGAATACAGGGTTAATGGCAGACTTCTCGGCAGTGTAGAGGAACAGGGGGATCTTGGGGTCCACGTCCATAAATCCTTCAAAGTTGCTACCCAAGTTGATAGGGTTGTAAAGAAGGTGTATGATGTGTTGGCTTTCATTGGCAGGGGAATTGAGTTTAAGAGCCGTGAGGTTATGCTGCAGCTCTGTAAAACTCTGGTTAGACCGCACTTGGAATATTGTGTTCAGTTCTGGTCACCTCATTACAGGAAAGATGTGGAAGCTTTGGAGAGAGTGCGGAGGAGATTAACCAGAGTGCTGCCTGGACTGGAGGGCAGGGTCTTATGAGGAAACGTTGAGGGAGCTAGGGCTTTTTTCATTGGAGCGAAGAAGGATGAGAGGTGACTTGATCGAGGTTTACAAGATGATGAGAGGTATAAATAGAGTGGATAGTCAGAGACGTTTTCCAAGGTTGGAAATTACTATTACGAGGGGACATAATTTTAAGGTGATTGGAGGAAGGTATAGGGGAGATGTCAGAGGTAGGTTCTTCACACAGAGTGGTGGGCGTGTGGAATGCGCTGCCGGCAGTGGTGCTGGAGTCAGTTACTTTAGAGACTATTAAACGACTCTTGGATAGGCACATGGAGGATAGTAAAATGTAGGGTAGGTTGATCTTAGTAGGATAATAGGTCGGTACAACATTGTGGGCTGAAGGGCCTGTACTGTGCCGTACTGTTCTATGTTCTAAGTTCTATGTAATCCTCCCCATCTCTCTGGGGTAGAGAATTCCAGACACTAATTACTGACTGGGAGAAGAAATTTGTTTGCTTCTCAGTTGTAAGTTATCCTCCCGTTATTCTGTAACAATGTCCGCTACTTCAAGATTCCCCACTTTGGAAAGATCTTCTCAACATTGACCCTGTCAATCGCCCTCAGAATCTTGTGTGTATCTATCACATGAACCATGCTACTATCATTCTGTCACTATATACTTGCATCACCTTCAGGTTACACATCCTGTCACTGTGATTGTAATTCTCACACTATACATCTGTATTACTTTGTACTGCATTTTTAAACTGTACACTTTTATATTATTTTATATTATTCCCATACTGTGCATCTGGATCATTCTCTCATTGAAGCTTTTACATACACTAACTGTGTCATTCACACTTAATCAGTTTTGATATTGGATCAAATTGTTTTATCGAGAGATCTACCACCGTAATCTCACAGAATGTCTGCCCACTCCATTGTCTCCATATTTAAATTTGCAGGCAATGATTGATGCCTGAGATAGAAACATTTTGTTTTGAAAGGTATTTGAAAGATATTTTAAATATGAGGTCATTTGTAACCTTGCAGTATCAACTTTATTTCTTAAGTAATAAAAATGTCACCATTCAAAAGGCATTTAGACATTCTTTCTAATATCCCACAGACATATTATATATCACTTTGAAACTTAAGGTAAGATAGTTGAGTCATTACAAATGTACTGACATTTTACAGTTCATGTGGAAATTATTCATAGCTAAATAGGGAGATTATGGATTTGGCTCCGATAATTTGCCAGTGCATTTAGACCCAGTTGATGTAAGATTCAAGAATTTGTCTTTTTTTTAAAACTCCACAGAGAATTTGTTAACCAAAGAAATTAAATTCCTAAAGCCTCACATGACTGGGTCAGAGCTAAATCTTGATAGAATGAAAACCTGCAAGCGCCTTGTGGAGAAAGCTATTAAGGTAAAAGCTAAAATTTAGCAAAGTTTTAAACTGCGTTTTGCTCAGAGTTTGATATTCAATGAGTCAGACATTAAACTCTGGATTGTAATACCTACAGTCTGCATTTTTTCCAAGGCTAGCCTTGGTGCTAGAACTTCAGTATTCCATTTGGCTGCAAATCAAAAGATGTAAGATAAATCCAGAATCATGATTTGACTTGACTTTGGACTGAATTACTGTTACACATTTTAAAAAGGTTGTCTCACATCACTTGTGTTTTAGGACATTTCTAATTCACTTAAATGTTTAATTAAACAACATGGTCAGTGCTGCATTTGCTCTCTATTAATTTAAATTTTAACAAAAGGGGAAAAGCAACTACCACACTCAGCACAGTATTGTTGGCAAATACAGCAAAACATACGAACGTGCAAATTAGAAGCAGGAGTAGACTGCTTGTCCCTTTGAAGCTGCTCCACTATTCAGTAAGATCATGGCCAATCTTATTACCACACCTTCCCACCTGCCCCTGATAATCTTTCATCCCTTTGCTTACCAAAATTATATCTAACTCTGCCTTAAAAATATTCCAAGGTTCTGCTTCCACTGCCTTCTGAGGAAAGAAAATTCCAAAGACTTACAATACTCCGTGCAAAATTATTTCTCCTAATTAATTTTGAACAGTAACGCCCTCTAGTTCTAGCTTCTTCTTAAGAAGAAACCTCCTTTCTACATGCACCCTGTTAATAACCTTCAGGATCTTATGTTTTAATCAAATCACCTCTTACTGTTTGAAACTCCAATGGATACAAGCCTAGCCTTGCCAATTTTTTCTTATCAGACAAATCACCCATTCCAAATATTCGTCTAGTAAACTTTCTCTAACCTTTTTCCAACCCATTTACATGTTCCTTAAATAAGGAGACCAATGGTGTAAACAGTAGTCCGGATGTGGTCTCGCCAATGCCTTACATATGACAACCATAAATTCCATTTTTATGTATTCCATCCCCTTTGCAATACACAGTCTCAATCTATTACCTTTCCAAATTCCTTGCTGTACCTGCATACTAAACTTTTGCAATTCACACACTAGGACACCAAGATCCCTCTGTATCTTAGACCACCAGAATCTCTCAACATTTGGATAATATGTTTATTTTATATTTTTCCTGCAAAAATCAATAATTCTTCATTTTCCCATATTTACTTCATTTACCAGATCTTTGTCCACTTACTTAATCTATCTATATCCCTTTGAACCTTTTTTTATATCCGCTTCGCAACTGACTTTCTTACCTATCTTTACGTCATCGGGAAATTTAGCATCCAAATCATTTCTGTGAATTGAATTAAGTGGAGGCCCCAGCACTGGTCCCTGTGCCATGTCAGTGATTACATCCTGCCAATCAGAAAATTACCTATTCATGATTTTCTGTTTCTTGTTAGCTAGTCAATCATCTATCCGTGCCATAAGCTGTTATTTTCTGCAGTAACCTTTGATGTGACACCTTATCAAATCTGGAAATCCAAGTACAATACATCCACAAGTTCCCTTTTACTGACAGCACGATACTTGCTCAGACAGCACAATAAATTTGTTAAACATGATCTCCCTTTCATAAAACCATATTGACACTTCCTGATTGCCTTGAATTTGTTCTAAATGCCCTGCTATAGCATCTTTAATAATAGCTTCTAACAACTTCCCTATGACTAGCTTGCAGTTTCCTGTTTTCTGTCCCCTCCTTTTTGATTAAGAGGTACATTCTCTATTGTCCATTCTGATGGAACTTCCTCTGAATCTAGGGAATTTTGGACAATTAAAACGAATGTATAAACAATCTGACTAGCCACTTCTTTCAAGGCCCTAAAATGGAGTTCATCAGAACCCGTGACTTGTCATCAGGCGGCTCTAAGAATTTGCTTGAAATGTATTTACTCTGTACTCTGAAATATTTGCCACTGTATCTCTATTGACCTATCCCTTAACCCAATTTGCCAGTTTACTTTAGCTAGCTGTATTTCCATGTCCTCATAATTGTTCTTATTTAAATCCAAAATAGAAATCGAGGAACTACTCTTCTCTCCCTTTCAATGAATATAAAATTCAATCATATTACAAAAGAGAAGTCTCCATATACTGCACTGCTCCACTAACAACACAAACATAAAGCTGCTCATTACCAGCAGTAGCCTAAACTATATTTGCCTATTGAAATAATTTATCCACTTTTAGCACAAATGCTTTAGCCATTGTTTACAGACATGAACAAGTTTCCAGTAATACAAGAACAAAAACAAAGTTGCTGGAAAAGCTCAGCAGGTCTGGCGGCATCTGTGAAGGAAAAATCAGTGTTAACGTTTCAGGTCCTGTGACCCTTCTTCACAGATGCTGCCAGACCTGCTGAACTTTTCCAGCAACTTTGTTTTTGTTCCTGATTTACAGCATCCGTAGTTCTTTTGGTTTTTATTCCAGTAATACAATCCATGTCTCCCCCAACAATTGTATAATCCAAGTCACCTAAGCTTTCAATCAGAATTCAGAGCATAACTCCCTTCAGTTTTTCATTTTAGCTTCAATTAACAACAGAACACAGCATTATTTTAATATTTCATATTTGTAGCAAGATAAAATCATACGCTAGCAGTGAGTGCTACGATTTTTTGATTTGTACTTTTAACACATGGCAAGGAATAGTGCAGTGAACGTAACATAGACAATAGGGACAAAAGTAGGCCGTTCTGCATTTCAAGGCTGCTCTGCCATTCAACATGATGGCTCAACATTCAACACAGTACCCTGTTCCTGCTTTCTCCTCATACCCGTTAATCCCTTTAGACCTAAGAACTATATCTAATTCCTTCTTGAAAACATTCAATGTTTTGGCCTCTGTGACAGAGAATTCCACAGGCTCACCATTTTCTCCTCATCTCAGTCCTAAATGGCCTATCCTGTATCCTCATACTGTGCCCATGGTTCTGGACTGCCTGGTCATCGGGAACATTCTTCTTGTGTTTAATCTGTTTCGTCCTTTTAGAATTATATAGGTTTTTCTGAGACCACCACCTTCATTCTTCTAAACTCCATGAATATAATCCTCACTGTTTTTTGGAGAGTTGATGGTCTCGTGGTATTATCACTGGACTGTTAATCCAGAGACCCAGGTAGCGTTCTAGGAGCCAAGGTTTGAATCCCATTACGGCAGATGGTGGAATTTGAATTCAGTTTAAAAAATCTGGAATTTAAGAGTCTAATGACGACCATGAAAACATTGTCGATTTTCGGGAAAAACACATCTGGTTTATTAATGTCCTTTAGGGAACGAAACTGTTATCCTTACCTGGTCTGGCCTACATGTGACTCCAGACCCACAGCAATGTGGTTGACTTGTAACTAGTCTTGGGGCTATTAGGGATGAGCAATAAATGTTGGCCTGGCCAGTGACGCCCTCATCCCATAAATGAATAAAAAGAAATCTAGTCTCTCTCCATATGTCAATCTTGCTACCCAAGGAATCAGTTTGGGTAAATCTTGGTTGCACTCTCTCCATAGCCAGAGCATCCTTCATCAGATAAGGAGACCAAAACTGCACACAATACGTGAAGTGTAGTCTCACCAAGGTCCTGTACAATTGTAGCATCCTCTCAATGAAGGCCAAGATACCATTTGCCTTTTTCATTGCCTGTTGAACCTGCATGATTACTTTCAGAAATTGGTGTACAAGCACATCCAGGTCTCATTGCTTCTTCTTTCCTAATCTTTGCCATTCAGATAATAATCTGCCTTCCTCCTTTTGCTACTGAAGTGGATAACATCATAGTTATCCACATTATATTTCATCTGCTATGTATTTGTCCACTCATTCAAATTATCAAACATGCTATCCCTAGTTTTTAGAGGTCATAAAGATTCCCCTACATTTGTCACGAAATGACACCAAAATTGCAACCTTGCTCAGAAAGGACGATATGTTAATACAACATAGAACAGTACGGCACAGTACAGGCCCTTCGGCCCTTGATGTTGTGTCGAACTTTTACCCTAAATCTAATGTCTATCTAACTTCCACCCCTACCTTATACTATCATCCATATGCCTATCTAATAGCCGCTTAAATGCCCCTAATGAGGCCGACTCCACTGCCCTCTCCGGCAATGCATTCCACGCCCCTACCACTCTCTGAGTAAAGAACCTACCTCTGACGTCTCCCCTATATCTACCTCCACTCACTTTAAAACTATGCCCCGTCGTAATAGCTACCTCCACCCTAGGAGAAAGTCTCTGACTGTCCACTCCGTCTATACCTCTGATCATTTTGTACACCTCTATCAAGTCACCTCTCAATCCTTCATCATTCTAGAGAGAAAAGCTCTAGCTCTCTCAATCTTTCCTTGTAAGACCTTCCCTCTAGTGTGGAAAGATTCACACTGGTTTCATGGGTTGTTGAGTATGGTAAAGTATGTGCAGATTCTTCTTTCTCTGCTATCATAGATTCAAAAAAACTTGACACTGATACTGAGAAACTGGGAAAAAATAGAAATTAGATTTTTCTGTCAGCTCTGAAACACTTAATCTAATTAAAGATAAATCTATTTTAAAAATGACTGCAGAATAGTCAGAGAAATGAATGGTGTAATAAAACATAACTTTCGAACAACATGTATAACAAAATGGTGACAGTCACTGCACTGTGCAGAGGAAATATTTGTTCATTTGTTCAGACAAGTTATGCTCTGCAATGAAACATGTTGTGAGCTAACATTGTTTTCTGCTGTAAAAAGTGAATAAGAAGGATAGTTCAATAAATAGTAAGTAATTGATAAACATTCTCATTACTTAGCTAAAAAAGATATTTACAATCTACGGTCCATATCCACTAATCCGACAAAGTCTACGCAACAGAGGGTGGTTGGAGAAGAAGATGCCTAAACCCCTGAAGAGCCCTCAGAAAAAGGATAAGATAATCAATGGGGAAAACGACGTGGATGATGGTATTGGTGATTCTGATGGTTGTGATTTTGATGGTAAGCAGGAATTTATCACAAAGCTGGAGGAAATTGTCCAGAGAGGTTGCAGCACTCAACATAGACATGACTTGCAGTGTGGTACCTCTAACCTAATGCAAATTTCACCATGGGTTTCTATGCAGCATCCTACAGATAAAATACAGTAATTACAAGAAGATCCACACATCATCACATGCAGCACCATCTTGTGCAAACAATATATTGATCACATAGTTATTTCACACCGAATCACAATTATAACCAGATGAACATTTATAGGTGTTTTGCAGATAATCTGCTACACATTTTGTAATGTGGGACATTGTCATGCGTATGGCACCCTGTACACATACTGCATAGAAAATGACTATTCTTCAGAACAGAAGAAAACTCCGACTCAGAACATTAACTCTCGTTGTCTCTCCACAGATGCTGTCAGATACAATGAAAGAATAGTCTTACAATTTCCTGTGCATTTAATATAGTTAGCACCTGACATTCAATGTAATTTTGTGAACTTCTTTTGAAAAATTGCTTTCCCCACATTAAAATTTTCGATGTTTTCCTTCTTGAAGAATTAATTTTTTACTGGTATTGGCTCCATGGGTGTTCTCCATTGCGTTATTACAGTAAAGTTTATTTGCTTGCTAAACTTGGCAAGTGTTTCAACTGTTGGGAACATTAGAGCAAATCCTGTCTTCACTCATCTTTTGTACGCAGTTCAAGCAGACGTTGCGATCAGAAGTAGGAATTCTGACTATTCTTCCTCTTTCCAACTCAGGAGCATTGCAGCAACCCCAACTGAGATCAGTTAGAACTGTACAGTGCAGGTACGGGCCCTTCGGCCAACGAGTTAACTCAGCATAGACCAGGAATCTAATCCGGAACCATTCTGGACTGCATGGGCAAACTCATTGAGTCACTACTGGATCCTGCGACCATTTTGATGCTAATGAAATGTTGAATTTTAGGAAAATCATCCTACTTCATGTGGCATGAAATATATTTCATATGAACAGTCTTGAAATTCTCTGAAAGACACAGCAGATTTCCTTTGGGCTACATTTTATGGAAGTGGGAGAGTGGGACCCCATCCATTGGCATTAAAATGAGACACAAGTGTTGTCTCACTTAGCCATTGTGCCTTGTAGCCACTTAACAGCCCCAAAACAGAGGCAGAAAAAGTTTGAGGTAGTTGTTGAAAGGGCACAAATCAGCAGTGATAACGTAAGTCACGGTATAAATCAGGAACTTAGTGGTCAGTGTAATATGGCAATATAATAATCATGAGAGACCCAACTAGGGAACTGACTATTTTCAATTTTGTCTTGTGGATGAAAAAGGGCTCATTAATAATATTGTTGTAAAAGACTGAGATTGATAGATTTCTACATATTAAAATCATCAAGGGAAGGGGCATAGTGTAGGAAAATGGTATTGCAGTAGAAAGTTAACCATAATCTCATTGAATGACAGAATGGGTTCAAAAGGCTGAATGGCCTACTCCTATTCATTATGTTAGATGATTAATTAGTTTGAGACAGACATTCTATCCCCACCTGGGGGTAGAGGTCAGACCTCAAACAGCTGCTGACCAATCAAATGACCTGGAGCAGTATAACCAGGATCATTGATGCAGCCAAATGCAAAGGAAAGTGGTGATTGGGGGTGGGGGTCAGTGCCAGGCTAGCCCAGTGAGAGAGCTAAGGGGGTAAGGTGCTAGGGTGGACATGCCAGGGAGAGAGGTGAAACATAGGCCTGGAAAGACCTTTGGAAGGGGCTTCTGATGAGCACAGTGGACCCATAAAGGAAGCATCCTTCATCACTGCTGGCTTCCATACTTGGCATAGGCCTCTCCAACCATGGGTTAGTGCTAGCAGCAGCAGGACGGAGCCCCTAAGTGATTCATTAATTGGTCACTTTATGATCTGAATTAGTATATGGGAAAGGGAAGGGGTAGACTATGGGAGAGGGGTGGATCGTGGGCAAGGCGCTTCTGCAATGAGGGCACCTGGGTCGACAGTAGGAACAGTATCCACACCATGCTCCCTAATTCTACAGCAGTAGTCAACCACCTGCCCAACTGTGCATCTCAAATTCCAGCACCTTTTTATGGGAAGTGTTTTAATTCATTTCAGTAAATATTAATGCAATGCGAGCAGCATTTGATATATTCCACATCCAAGGCTGATTTATGTATATATTAATATTTATCTGTATATGTTTTATTTTATATCACAGATAAACAGGGTGACGATAAAGACAACTCTGATGACCCAGATAACATCTATAACATCACGGTTAGTATGACATGCACATTAATTTAACTTTACTGTCAACTTTAGTTTCAGAAATGGTCTGCTTTGTTGTAAATGATAATGGTTGCTTCCAAAATGGTCAATTTTGGGATAATTGAGGTACTTATTGCAGTTTTAATGGCAACAGGGAGACCATGTGGACAAAACCAAAAGATTTGTATTTTTATTTGGTGACAATGTCGTGATCTGCCTTTGATTGGAATCAGTTACCACAACCTTACTAAATAACACTGCTGCTATCCATTTTAGAGAGACTAGGATGCCAAGATGAAACTTCAGCTCACTGAATATGGTATATCAATTTATATTGGTTAATAATGGGGTTGGGAGGTTGAAATATTTATGACAGCGTGGCTATCTGTTTTGATAACTTCGGGGTGGGATGGTGCTCAGAGCTTGGGGAAATCAAAATGCTGCAACTGGAGATAAACAGGGAAATCACCTCAGAATAATTGAATATTAACCAGTTAAATGGACACCCTCACATTATCTGACTCCTGGGAAAAATGTATTTTGTACGGAAGTCCCTCAGAATGAGGGTGACACTTCCTCATGGCAAATATTTGTGCTTGGATTGTTTTAACTTGGAGAGGATGTTGTGCTGCATCTACTACACATGGTTCTGGCTGACTAGGAAAGTCTTACCACCTGCCCTAGGCATATGGGAAGGATTTACAGATTGATAATCAACCCCCCATTTGGCTGTGTTATGATTATGGCCTTCATGGGCATGAAATGTCTTGGCATGTAACTTGAACCTGGAGATTCTGGCTATCATTGCACCAGGGGGTCTCCAAAAAATGGAGTAAATAAATGAAATGGGGGCAAATAAATTATCTTTCACTTAGCCCTTTCTAATAAAGATATAAAAGCACAGAAAAGGTGCAGTGCAGGTACACCTGGATGTTATGGTTACTGAAAATACTGAAAACATTTTATCAGTGAATTGAAAAGTTACAGTTATATAAGGGCATGAAACCAAACTACTTGGAAGATTCTGTCAAGTGTATTGGAAATCCATGCTAAACAGCACCGCAAGTGTATCTACACAACATAGACTGCAGTGTATCAAGCAGGCAGCTCACCACCATCTTCTGGAGGCCAGTTAGCGGTGGTTGGTTAGGGCAGTCAGGACAATAAATACTAGCTTTGTCAGAGACATGAACATCACATCAATTAAAATGAAAAGAATAAGTATTGTGTGTCAATATAATTAGTGCACTATGAAGTAATGTATTAATATCAACATTTGTATCTGTATTGTGGTCATAAGTAGATAAGTTCACTTAGTTTTCTATTGCAGTCCCGACTACTGAAGAATGAAACTGCAATTTTTCTCTGGACAAATGGAACTGAAGCCCAGAACCTCCAAAAAGATCAGATTTTTAACCACTATGTTGGGGCTGGCTCATTTACTACTAAGGTAGGCTCTATGTTATAGGACTGCTTCCTCCATCAGTAATATGGTCTCTCCATTATTTGGTGACTGGCAGCTTTGTACAAAGGTAGGAATCTCACCAAATAGCTTATTCCATCAACATTAATAACAAATGTCATTTACTGACACTTCGGCAATGGCAGTCTATTTGATGACAGCTAGCCCCTTCTTTTTTGCTGTAAGACTCCTTATATGATCAGACAAGGAGGGCTTGAACAGCTTTTCCCTCTTCTCAGTTGACTGCAACCATTTTTTAAAGAAAGTGGATATACTTGCCAATTCTGTAAGTGTTGAACTGTTTATGTGCTATGACCATTAAAGACACAATAAAACAGTTTGTTTTGAGCTTTTAAAAGTAAGAGATGATAGTTTTATTTAATCTAATCTAAGTAAAATAACAAAGACAATGTCTCTTACATGCACAAAACAGATTACACTGTGGGGAAATAGGTTACATAATTTGGAGTCCAGTAGAATAAAGGTGAACCTGGTTCTTGAAGGTTGGTGACTTTGATGCTTCAGGCTGAACTTTGTAGTTTGACTGCTTTCAGCATTGAGTCAGTTTTGAGATGTAAATCGAAAATGCATTTGTTCTTCTGCAAAGATTAGTGGATTGAGTACTTCTTGAAATCAATGAATGTGACACCTGGATATCAAAACCAACAGATAGGATTCTAAACTTGCCAGATGGAAGGAACTCACTCAGGTGAATGTTCCTCTAGCATCTTGTGTGCCCTCTTCTACAGAGCAAATATGATGTTTAAACATAGAAAAAGCACATGACCATCTGTGTCCCACTGCCCAGTGACTGAAATATGGTCATAGCTAGTGCATTCAAATTGTAACTTAATTAGATCACGCCCAGTAATTCATCTCTCAGTCAAGATCCCATTGATGAAGTGAATATGTCCAATGGTTTATTTGTGCCTAGTTGAGTACCTAGGTGTTTGTTAGCATGTTTTACTAACAGGAGAGTTATTGGTCCCCATCATGTCTTTCAAGACACTTGTTCAAATGCAGCTTTCCAGACGGCTGTCTCTATTTCAGTACTTTTTGGAAAGTAGAAAGTATCAATGATGCAAATGTGAAGTAAGCTTTAACAATAATCCCAACTCATTGCAATCAGGCTTTAGTCACATGGGCTTTAGTGAAGTGGGAATTCAAGTGGTGTACTTTTTCAAACTTCAATTTTAAAGTCAGCTTCAAAAATTAGCCTATAAGTAGCCTAACTAAATAAGGCAGCTACCTGACATTGGCAGTTATCTATCAAGCACCTGAAATCCCTTATCTAAAGGAGGTGCTGCCAACTGAAGCTAAAAAGTGACTCAAATCAGAAAGCATATGACTGCATATAAGAAAGGGATTTTTGAAACATAGGTAGTGACAGTGGAGACATCACCTGAGCAAGATAAGGTCAGTGAGTATGTCCGGGAACTTGGGTCAAACCGTGAAGAGGCAGGAGGGAGGAAAGAGGTTTATTGCATGAGGTAAAGTCTCCAAAGTGAGAAGTAAGGTGGAAGAGGATGGAAGATACAGATCGAGAGGTCTACCTGTAGTGAGACCAACTGGTGATGGATATGATGAATCAATTTTAAATGAATGTAGGGAAAGTGGTGACTGGTGAGTAGGATAGGTGAATTTTCTAGTTTTTAAAGTAAAAGTAAGGTTTTCAGTTTGTTTAGGTCTCTAGTTTTCTTTTGTTAAGGTTAAATATATGATTGAAACTTTTTTTTAAAAATTACAATAAAGTATAAAGAGCATGGATTCTAGACTAATTAAAGAATTAATTAAATATGGTAATGTTGGCAGGATGGGTGATGTGTTGCTGCTGTAGCATGTGGGAGCTGCTGGATACCAAGGTGATCCAGAGTGAAGACATCTTTAGTAAGTGTTTACAGCTCGAGGAACTTTGGATCTGAGTTGAGGAGCAGAAGTGCAAATTGCTGACATTGCACCACTTCAGGAAGGTGAAGAGTTGTCTGAACATGTTGCTCCAGGAGGTGGTCATCCCCTTCATTGTAGGTAATTAAAATTTGGTCTGTGATTTTGACAGGAGCATATAACTGCAGGTGAGACAGATACGGAGACTCAGTGGACAACATTTGAAGAACATCAGCACCTGTAATTATTCAACAGCTACAAAGTTCTTGCAAGCTCTGAGGATGAGAGTGGGAACTGCAGGAAGGATGAGTGAGCTGACCACAGCACCATGGTAGAGGTAGCCATTCAAATAAGGGGAGAACTTAGGAATGTAGTTGTGGTACAGGACAGTAGATAAAGGGGAATTATACTGTTTACTGCAGCTGTGAACATGAGTCCTTAAGGCTGTGTTGTCTGCCCAGTGCTGTCGTTATGAATATCTCCTCACTTTCTGACTCTGTGGCTGAAGAAGAACTTGGAATGGGAGGGGATGAATCTAGTTGTTGTCATCCATGTTTCTAACAACAATGTTGAGAGAACTAGAAAGGGGGTTCTGCTTAAAGAAATTTGAACGATTATTAGCTAAACTAAAAAATAGAAACTTCAAGGTAATACTGTTGGGATTATTACCTATGCCATAGGCAGCCCTGCATAGGATTAACAGAAATCAAGGAATTAACTGCATGGCTGTGAGATGGATGTGGGAGAAATGGATTTCAGTTTGCGGAATAGTGGCACCGGTATTGGGGTAAAGGAGATGTTCTGTTGGGAGAGGCTTCACTTGAACCACACTAGGAACAGTATCCTGATAAGTCAAATAGCTACGACTGTAGAGAAGACTTTAAACTAATTGGGGGCAGAGAGTTTGGGAAATATAGTCTTAAGGATATGGTAGCATTGCAGGGTAGCTATTTACCCACAGTTGAACAGGAAGAGCTAGAGTGCCAACATAGAAAAACAACAACAAATAGGGTCGGGGGAGTGGGGTGTTTGGAATGGTAAAGAAGCAAAATTTAATGGCTCTTATCTTAAAGCCATGTGGGATTTGGAACAAAATAAATGAATTAACTACTCAAATAGAAGTTAATAGGGATGATCTTATTGTCATTACAAAAACATAGTTACAAGGAGATCAAAGCTGGGAATTAAACATTCAGGGGTATGTGACTTTTTGAGAGGATATGCAGGAGGGAAAGTATGGTTGGGGTAGCTTTGTTCAAGACAGTAAGTATGACAGCAAGAAATAATCTTGGATAGGGAGATGTAATGGGTAAGAAATAAGGGGAAGAAGACAGTTGTTGGAGTCTCCTGGAATTTGGAACTTTGGAATATTGCTATTCCTAACAATTGTTCATTAATCATGATGAGGACGTTGAATGTAGATGTTTGATTGATAATAAGTATGTAGAATTGTAGGAAATTGGTTAAAAGATAATAGAGTATTATGTAGTTAATTATAAAAAAACAGTTAATGCTGAGATGTTAAAGAGAACTTGCTTTAAGGAGAGTGGCAGATAGGAGCAGACCTGCAAGGCATACGTACACCAGGGACCCAATAAAGTCAGCCTGAGGAGCAAAGTCTGCAGCAAGGACCTTCGGGGAGAGAGGCAGATAGGAGTGGGAAATCTACAAGCATGCTGAGTTTGGGGGAAAAATACATGACTCATAATATCACTGGAAAGTTTTGAGTTGATTCGTTGGTGAGTAATTGCTGTGAGGCAGTGTGTGTAAAATGATGGAATTTAGAAAAATATAACTTTTTTAAATTGACCCCAAAATATCTAACTCTTAATGAAGAGACAGAGGGGAAATAAATAACTGATGATTCCATTGTTTATTTTAATCTTAAATTGTAAGGTTTACTTTGGATTTATTTAAATTAGTTCAAAACATAATGAGAAGAAGCATTTTAAGAAATCAATTAGTTAATTAAGGTAGTAAATATGACAGGGTATAAAATGTCTTGCAAATGCAGAATGTGGGATCTCTGGACAATAGTGTGATCCAGGCCAGATATGTTTTGCGAATGTTTTCAACTTGAAGAGCTTTGGCTCAGATTATGAGCTAGAGCCGAAGCTGAAGATGCTGAGACAGCAAGTATGGGGAGCATTACCTTGGTATCATGTGCTGAGAGGATGTGATGACATCTGTTCAGTTCTTTTTAAGGGTCTCTGGACTCAAAGTTAACTCTGTTTTTCTCTCTACAGATGTTAGCCTGCTGAGTTTCTCCAGCACTTTGTTTTTGTTAGAATCAAATGGTTCAAAGAAGGTGTGAGAGAAATAAGTTTTCATGGAACATTGGCACTAGCTCAGGGAAATAGGAGCTGTACCTTTTTAGGATCAACTTGCCCTGTGCCAGTACAAGTGTTCTGGTGAGTAATATAACCAGTGTGGCACAGATACTTTTAAACTAAATAGTAGGGAGTGAGGAATCTAGTGTGGGAAGATGTGATAAGTTGAACAGTGAGAACAAGATGGCAGTAAGGGAAAGGATGATCAGAATGTGACAGGAAGGAACAGAGCGTGTAAACCTAAAAAAGCACCAGTGGATAAGGCTAAAGGTCACAAATATCGTAGAAAGACAGAACTAAAGGCTCTGTATCTAAATCCATGTAGAATTCTTAACAAAACAAATGATTTGGCAGTGCAAATAGAAATAAGTGAGTGATTTGTTTGGCATTAAAGAGATGTGGATGTAAGGTGATAAAATCAGGAACCTGAATATTCAAGGATAAATGAATTTAGCAAGAATAGGATGTGAGGAAAGGGTGGAGAGGAAGCTCAGTTAATTAGGGATGTTATTAGTACAATGGAGGGATATAACCAAAGTTGTGGAGATCATAATGTAGCATTAGCCTGGATAAGAGATGAGAAATTGTAAGCGTAAGAAGTTGCTATTTGGAATGGCATACAGGCCCCCAACAGTAATCACGTTATAGGATGTGGGACACAGGGAAAAAGTAATGGGGTCTGGTGAGAAATATAGCTTTAATCATGGGTGATTTTAATCTACAGATAGATTGGTTGAATCTGATTAACAAAGGTAGCCTGGATTATGAGTTCAT